CCTCGGGACCCTTGTCCAGGATGTATTTTGACACAGACATGCCAGGTGGCAGTGTTGTAAAGGGCGGGAGCATTCCAATATCGTCTCGTTCATCAAAAGTTGAAGGAAGAGGGCGGGCAACTTGAACAGCTGGCCTCCAAACTAATAAATCACTTAGCAAAAGCCGTTTCTGAGCATTAAATTTGTTTACCTTCACTCACCAATTTCATTTTGACCAGAGTTTGACTCGGGGATGTCAAGGGACTGTAATTCTTCCATCCAGGGTTCCACTGGAAGAGCGATTGCGGGTACATTATCTGAACGACGCCACTTTTTCCTAGATTGCCGATTATTACCCACGTGTGGCGGCATTTGTTGGTGACGATCGAATGACTTTCGATGATATTCGGGCTCCGCATACTGAGATGCGTACTGAGGGTGAAAATAGCCCCGGTGGGGCGGCATAGCAGTTGATGCACTTGAGAACTGCGGGTTATAGGCACTCGTGGACGTTGGCAATCCATACGATTGGGGTGAATTATATTGCGGGGGTAAGGGTTCATGGGGCCATGGACCAGCTGAATAGGGGTGGGCAGACATGGGTGTTGGAGAGCCATATGTTGAAGCTGCCATCGGTCTGGGTTGATATGTTGGATGTGCTACGGGCGGGTGAGTATAACTCCTTTGAGGGCCCGGATGCGATTTGTCGTAAAACGGGTCGCCCTGATAATGGGCATGGTAAGAAACTGTAGTTTTCTGTCGTTTTGGAGGACGACCAGGTTTCATACCACCCCTACGGAAAGCGTTCTGTTAGCCATTAACGGCGGCATGAAAGACCATCACCTCGAACTTACGTGGGGAACTCGCGGCGGGGTTCCGGGCATTGCTGGGCCCAATGCTCCAAGGAACCACAGTTGTAACATGATTGGGGTTGGGTGTGCTTAGGGGGGCCATTATTGCTGCCAGCAGAAGGGTGATTCTGGCGCTGTTTTCCCTTGCGAGGATGCTTTTGGCCCCGCTGTTTGTGGCTGACAACGGATTGAACTGGTTGTGGGTGGAATGGCTGCACAGCATCACCAGGCATCGGATGCGAGTCCATTTTTAGCGCGATCCGATCAAACACGGAGGCCACAATCAGACCAGATTTTCAAAGAAGTATAAGATATAAAAATAAATATATATAGAACGGTTACAGAAGGCAGTCAATTTTCAATTTTCCAAGGCCCTCTCCGGTCTCATGAACTAGAAACACGGAGATTGGATCCAGCAACCAAGAAAGGGCGGAGAAAAATTTAGCAGCCCGAGACCACCAGTGGCAAGACTATAAACTCCCGATGAAACAAAACAATGCAGTAATTGGTGCAGGAAATGTTTGGCAAGAAATAAAAAGCAAAAGCACAACGGATGGTATTCAAGAATAATGGGTCAAAAGCAGGATTGGCAACCCCCGGTGGCCCCGACGATAAGGATGCCGTAGAGGCGGGAGGAAAGGGGTTCCGCAAAATGGGAGATGCTGATGATAACTATATGTATCCAGGGGTGCAGAAGTCATGGGGAATAACCAAAAAAAATAAAATAAAATAAAATAAAATGGGCGGCAGCAGGCCAACATGGAATGCACAGGGCGTAAGGATAAGATAACGACTCAGCCTCGGTGATTGAGATGAGGTTGAAGACAGAGATGGTGAAAGAAACGAACTTCGACGACCGAACGTAAGACGGACGGAAGTTGGAGCCGGCTGGGAGAGCGTCACGTGATCCAACTGGCGCCGAGCTTGGCAATATCCGACGATAGGGCGGTGTTTGAAGCTCCAGCGGACGGTGAGGATATATACGTTGACCCTGGCCATTGGGCAATATCCGACAATGACGGTGTTTGAAGCCCCCAAGTGGTTCATTTTAAGTGGTGTCTGGAAAGGTGAGGGATGGGTTGGCATAGGTAACTCACTAAGTTAGCCGCCGCAGACAACGAACTTGTATTAAGTAAGCAGTGGCTATACCATTAGTTAGCCATCTTTTGCCGGTTTCCTGCCGAAGATCTTAGTAATTCGAATCGGGACTAATTTAACTAGCTGGTTCTCCCCTAAACCAGTTCGAGTTAACTCGCACCAGCCACATGTTAGTAACTCGGTAGTTGATTAGTCACCAGCCACTCTTATCTCTATTTCTCTCGTTTTCAACCCCGTCAAAAAGGAACAGACAAAACGAATAACGACATACACATCTTCATCCTCCCCAATACTCTATATACAGCATAACACCCGTAAGGTGTTCAACGAACGCCAGGCTCTCTCCACCACTGGCGGCGCAGTATCTTAGCTAGAAACTTTACTCTGAATGGCATAGCGCAAGCAAACAATCTCCCGCTGACGCTGCCGCTGAACGAGCCTAATCGCCTCGCTGATGCTGCGCTTTCGAACTGCCGGACCATCATGAAAGCTGCATCGCCCGGTTATCTGATCTCCTTCCTATTCCCCTGAATCCTTTTGTTTCTTTGTTTCTTTATACATTTTAACTGTCACTCTCTTGTTTCCTCCTCCTCCCCTTTTTCTTTTTTTTATTTTTTCCTTTTTTTCTTTTTCTTCTTTCTTAAATTAGAGGCTTGATCTGGTCTCTCGTCCAGTGGCAATGCCAGGACTACCGTGTAAGTTCGGTCTATGCCCGATGAATGATTCAAAGTTACAGATGCTTTCCATGTGAATTCCTATAACAAGAAGTATTAAATGAATCTGGCGACTGATGAATGACCCAACATTTCTCATATACTGCAGCCAGCATCGATTTAGATGAGTGCATCGAGCGACTCTATAGGAAGGAATTACTAGCAGACTCTGTCATAGAGGCAATATGCGCCAAGGCGAAAGAATTGCTCATGAAGGAGAGCAACGTCGTCCATATCGCTGCCCCCGTCACTGTCGTCGGAGATATCCATGGCCAATTCTACGATATGATTGAGATTTTTAAGATTGGAGGCTATTGCCCTAACACAAATTACTTGTTTCTCGGTATGGATGCGCAACGCTACTTATTTATTTACATGCATTCATCAGTCCAACCAGTCGAAACAAAACCAAGACTGACAACCCCCCTTTCTTCCCTACCTGCATTTAAAACAGGCGACTACGTGGACCGCGGCCTCTTCAGCGTCGAAACCATCTCGCTCCTCGTCTGCCTCAAACTCCGCTACCCAGCCCGCGTCCACCTCATCCGCGGCAACCACGAGTCCCGCGGCGTCACCCAATCCTACGGCTTCTACACCGAATGCGCCCGCAAATACGGCAACGCCAACGTCTGGCACTACTTCACCGACATGTTCGACTTCCTCACCCTCAGCGTCGTCATCAACGATCAGATCTTCTGCGTGCACGGCGGTCTATCGCCGTCCATCCATTCCATCGACCAGATTAAGATTATTGATCGATTTCGCGAGATCCCGCACGAGGGGCCCATGGCTGATCTTGTCTGGTCGGATCCGGACACGGAGCGGGATGAGTTTTCGCTCTCGCCGAGGGGGGCGGGGTATACCTTTGGTGCACAGGTGGTCAAGAAGTTCCTTGAGGTGAATAACATGTCTCACATCCTCCGTGCGCATCAGCTGTGTCAGGAAGGGTACCAGGTGCTCTACGAGGACCGGTTAAGCACCGTGTGGAGCGCGCCGAATTACTGCTACAGATGCGGGAACCTCGCGAGTGTTCTTGAAGTTAGCGATACGGGAGAGCGCTACTTTAATATATTTGATGCTGCGCCTGAGAATAACGATATACACCGTGGGGAACAGCAGGCACAGCAGCAACCGGGCAAGGATGGGCTTAATCCTGTAATTGAATATTTCTTATGATACCCTTAGGTTTATTGTTTTTTTTTTTTTTTTTTTTTTTTTTTAATTTCATTTTATATTTTTGTTAAAATGATATACTGCTCTTTTTTTCCTTTCATCTATCCCTTCCCTCCTCTGTCACTGTCATGAATAATCGGTGCTTTCTACTTGTCGTGAAGCATAGGTTGGGTGTTTGGTTGTCATTCATATAAAAGAAAGAGATGGCCTGCAACGAAAGAGATAGAAAAATAGATAAAATATATAAAATAAAAAAAAAAAAGTCGCGCGGAGTATTTGGCCAGCGCTGACTGGCTGGTAGAACTTTATCCTATCAATCATTGGTCAAGTCATCACTAAGCAAAGATGTCAAACTCGGGAGGTATTTTAAAAAGAAAAATTTTCTTTTTTCTTTTTTCTTTTTTCTTTTTTCTCATTTCTCATTTCTTACTTTTTTATTTATTTATTTATTTTTTTTCATTGCAATGGACGCCTTTTATAACTGGTGTCCTGTACCAAGAAGTGGGGAAAGGAAAGAAAGAATGAATGAAAAATGCATAGATATAAAGGAAATTCGTGTTGGTGCGAGAAATAGGAGAATGAGAAGACGACAAGATCAACAGAATTCAGCTGGTAACTGCTTAGAAGTAGCCCGCCCTAAACTACCAATCCTTGGCGATGTTAAAGGACCACTCGAACTTGAGATGGGTGATGTCATCGTCATCCACGAATCTGGAGAGTGCGTTGTAATGGCCTCGAGCAATCATGCCGGACGGGGCCTCTTCGGCATTGACTACGCAGGTTGGGTGAGGACAAAAGTCAGAGTGTTTTTATTTTTTATTTTTTTATTTTATTTTTTTTATTTTTTATTTTTTATTTTTTTTTTTATTTTTAATCTCCAGCACAACCAACCTTGGGAAATCCTCAAACACGACAGACGACGGACACTTACACTTCTTTTCATACAGCGGTTTATCTGTGGTGCTGGGCGGGTAGCTCCCCTATCCCCCTCCCCCCCCCAAAAAAAAAAAAAAAAGGAGTCAGCAAACGTTGTAGCCATCTAGAGAGAAAAAAAGAGGGGGAAACCCCAACTCACCAGCATCTCCTCATCCTTGCTAATCCTAACCCCTTTCCTCTTCACAACTTGGATGTACTTCAGCCCGCTAAGAACCTCATGCTGCACAACGAACGTCGCCTTGATGCGGAAACGGGATCCCTCCTTGATGGTAAAGGGCTGGTCCTTGAGCTTGTCGACCGAGCCCGGGCTGGAGAGGTCGATGGTGATGTCGTCGCGGCCCTCGACCTCGAGTGCGAGGGACTTTATGATGCACTTGCGTGGGTCGTTGGGGTCGGATATCGAGCTGCCGGTTCCTAGGCCCAGAGAGGCTTTCCATCGCTTGAGGGATTCGTCGTTGGCGTCTGTGGGGGGAGGGGGCGGGTGGGTGTGAATGAGGCGCGGTTAGCTGGGTGTGTGTTTCTTTATGTATTGGAAATGAGGATATTATTATATATTGAAAACAAGTGCGGTGTGTCTTTTGTTGCTGTCCGTTATGATCCTTCTTCGCAGTGTTTTTCGACGAGATGGGGCATAGATCGCTCTGTTTTCTCACTCTAGCGTCCCGCCATTACCAGGCCCACATACGGGTAGATTCCATGTGTATAAACTCCGCAAAAGGGAGGCAGGCATAGACATTTGTAGGAGGTTGGTAGCTCAAGTCCTTTGCATCCATACAACAAAACAACAATGCGGGGCCCTCCGTCTAGACCAGACACAGCCCTATCCCCAGGATGTCCCTCGCACTTTTTGCTTTGGCATGGTGGAATAAAATTGAGAATTGCAGACGTCGATATACTTTTTACATCTCACATACCTAGCTGATGATATTCCTCAAGAGTCTTCTTCTCACCAACCTTGAAGCCAGCAGTCTTGCTTGAGGCCAAGTCGTCGTCATGGTCGTGGGTCATCTTTGCAGGAATGTTGTCTTTGGAGGGGCAGCGGGGCTGGGAGGCAAAAAGTAGGCTGTTGTTTTGAACTGCGTTATCACAGCGTGGTGCGGGGTAGAGGTGATTTTGAATGAGGAGGGAGGAAATGGGGAACAAGGGGTCG